CCGGTGTTCGCTCGCCTGTGAACTTGATTGCTTGGCGAAGTGGAAAGCTCCATCGCACTGCTCGAAGCTCTCTTTCAGCAGAGCTCCAGGCACTTGGTGAGGCCGAGCAGGAGGTGATGTTCTGCCGTGCCTTGTGGAGCGAGCTTCTTGGACATCCTTTCAACCCCAGGTGTCCAGAGCAGTCGACGAAGCTGGTGAAGAGCGCACTGGTGATAGACGCAAAGTCTGCCTTTGATGCCTACCACAAAGGCGAAGGTGCATCAGCAGCATTCAGCCTCAAGGAGAAGTATTCAGCTCTTGAACTTCTCGCCATTCGCGAGAACATGGTCCGACAAGACACGCAATTGCTCTGGGTTTCATCGGAAGCCCAATTAGCAGATGGCCTCACCAAAGCCTCCGCCCAGGACCAGTTCAGGCTGTTCATGCTCCGTGGTCAGTGCTGGAACGTCAAGTATGACCCTCAGTTCACGGCAGCGAAGAAGAAGCCGAAAGTCATGGATGACCGCTTGGACGACATGTCTGAGGTAGAACTTGAGCCTGATTGCACTTGGCAGGAATTCATCCAGCGAAGGGACCGACCTCTGTCAAAAACCTTTCGCCCATTTCAGAAGCTGTGCCATTTGCATGAGAGCCATGAGCATGATCATGTTGACGTTGGTCAGTCCCGCCGCCATTTAGGAATTCCTTTTGCCAATCGTGATCACTGATCACGCGACGCTACTGTCACGCACCCTTTTGCCGCCATAGGTGGTGGCTGCCCCGACCTTTGGGCACCGTGAGACGTGCTGGAAAAGATTGAGAGCTCAAGAGCTTGCTGTGTTTTCGATTCGTGGTGGACCTCACCTCTTTCTTTTCGCCTTCGGTAGTGCTGCCAGTATCACATTGATAACAACTACTTGTCGCCGGAGGAACTCTCGTCCGCCGGTCGGCTGGGTGTTTGCCTTGCCTTCGATCGTCGTTTTCTGTGCGACGCACCAGGCCGTTCCGAGCGGCGACGAGAGCGGTGAGGCGGCTCCGTCGCCCGATGTGGACGAGATGCTGAAGACGTTGCCACTTGGGCCGGATGCTGACGTCCGATGCGACGTCCACACAGGGCGGGGAGAAGCACGGTTGAGAGACGGTGAGAGACACTTTCACCTGGGAGATGAACGGACTGGACATGGCAGGGAGGTACGGAACGTGGAACATGAACGTTGGCGGTGTGGTATGGGAGGGTACGTCTCTTTTTTCTTTTGCCAGACACCTTTGTGTGGGATGATGCAATGTTGGGCCATTCCACCCTTGTCAAACTTTGAGAAGAGACAAAGGCCTAGTGTAGTTATCTCGGAGATGTTCAGCCAGCAGGGAGGCCTAGCTGTTGTTCGAACCTGATGGCTTGCTGTTGTTGCATCCCCGGCATCATTCATGGATCTCCTCCCTTTGCAAATGCTCAGTTTCCATGATTGCTTGAGAGAGCAAGCCGATGCCACACGAAACAAACATCCAGCATATGCTGGTGCTTCTCTTCTTCACCAACAGTGACGGCACAAAGCTAACTCAGGTGACTTGGAGTTTCGACTCCTTGGAACGGTCGTTTTTTCGGATCACCCCTCGAAAATCCTGCACTCTTCTGCACTAGACCAGGCTAAATACATACTGAGAGGTTCACCAGCATGACGGGCGTTTTGACCCAAAGGAATCCATTGGATCGTACGCCAGATCGTCGGATGTTCTTCAGGTCGAGGAGCTGCCAGGTGCGCCTGGATGTTCGGGTTCGCGTGATGTTCTGGAGGTCGAGTGGTCATTGGAGCTGGATGTCAACATTGAAACCAATGAAAGGTAGAAAGGACACTCCATCCCAGCAACAAATTAAACCATTGACTTGGACGAAGTCCGAGGTTTGTGACCGCCTAGCCAGCGTAAACCAGCTAGCCAACCATTGAAACACTGGTTGCCAAGTTGGGAACCCATCCCAGCCTGCTCCCCTCGGATCCACCTGGCCAGATCCACCTGGCTGGTGTCCAGCCCACTCAGCCACTTCGGTCCACAAAATTCTGGGTCTTCCGTTGGGTGCCACTTCGGTCCACTCCTTCTGGACCGCGAGGTACGTCACCAGAACTCGACAGCTTGGTCGTTGAATCAAGTGAGGGGCTTTCTCCCCTGTTCAAGCACTGTTTTTCGGATGGGCAAGGTCAAGCCTTCATTCTGGCTACCTCCCCTATACATGGTTGGGGCTATACATGGTTCTGTCTAAACATGGAGCACCCTCCCCACAGACCGAGGCGGTTGTGTACTTCCCTAAACTGACCAGGGGAGAAACCCGTCACTCTATCTTCCATTGATTGCTATTGGCTATTGATTGCTATTTTAACTTTCTGGGTGCGGCAGAGGAAAAAAGTATTCGTTCTGCATTACTTCACACACCAAGCTATGACACCTACCCGAAATACTCCTTTCTCGGTTGTAGGACTCAGTGATGTAGGGCCTTGATCAAAACCTGAACGTCCTGACGCCCGGACGCAAAGCTATCAAGAGTCAAACGTGCTGATTGGCGATCGAATACCTTGGTATATGAAAGAAGTTTTTGCAGCCAATTCACTTGGATCCTCAAAGATTCTTCTTTCAGTTGGCATGGACTGGGTCTTCAAGGCACAGGGAAGGTGGTGTGTGAGAGCCTTAGAGCACCAAAAAACCAACATTATGGTAGTTTTCCATGCAGACTCCACGTGGTTGCTGGAACATGAAACCGGCTTTGACTACGTTGAACTTCGGCGACCGGGTGTCACATAAAGAGATCGAGGGTTAAGATCCGAAACTGTAGAGAACGTCTCAGGATGCAATTTCATGCTTGACGGTGTGACCTTTGTCCAGTAGAAGTCCACAGGATTTGGATCGAATGAATGGCATATGGCAGCCAGAACATAGCCCAGCAAGAAACAGTTCAGTTCAGATTCCATCAACACATCAGCAAAGATCAGCATGTCTGACATGCTCTGAACTATCCAACAATATAGATAGATTTCACGAAAAATCCTCTAGCCTTCCCGTCCTCCCTTCGCGGCTTCGCAACTAGGAGGTCTTGCAGCAAAGTGCCAAGCTCCGCTGCCTGTCGAAGCTTTTGCCCGACCTGGCTGCCAAAGGCGTGTGCGCGGTGTCCGCGCGCCCGACGGACGCGGACACCGCAGTCCGGCTTGTGCGGTGGCGCTAGGAGAGGCAGAGAGAGTGATTGGCGGCCGGAAATGTGGTGTAGATTTACGGTTGGGACAGTTTCCACTTGTTCAGTAGCAATTCTTGTGCTAGCACACACTTGATGTTTGGATTCCCAGCGCAGATTCGAGGTCAAAACGCATCAAAGCTTGTAGCTCTTTGCGGTTTAGACCGGCAGAGGTATTCGATGTGCAAGCGCAACGATAGCGTCCATGGGCTTGCGTTCCGGTGGTCACAGTGCTACCAGTGGCATATCTCCAACAGCGGCGATCGCAGGCTGCGGACAGTAGGAATGTACTCACAAGTTAGAGAGACAATCACTGCACCGGAGCTATGGTTGGTGCGGTCATTGGAGATTGTTTGGGTGCCAGGTTCGAAGCACAGAGCTGGGGGAAGACGATTGACATCAAGAAGGCTCAAATGCACAGAGATTACACCCTGGAAGAGAATTCACTGGTCCTGGTCTCCCCTCGAGTACACCGATGACACAGAGATGGCCTCAAGTGTTGCAGAAGTTCTTCGTGAAGGGGGTTGTTGATGAGCACGAGTTGTGCAAGAGGTTCCATGAGAAGTTCAGCAAAAGGGATGGCAGCGGCTATGGGAAGGGCATGAAGAAGTTGCTCATTGAAATGGGGCAGATGTTTCAGGATGAGAAAGTGTGTGAGGAGGAGAAAAAGATGAAGGTGATGTAGCTCGCCCGGCAGCAACATGCTGGACAGAGCTCGCACGGCAATGGTGCCCCTTTGGTGCCCCGGATCTAACAATGGACTTGGCAGTTAAAACAGCCCGTGCAACCCATACTCATGAGGATGCTGTGCAGGGAGCACAGTTGTTTGCTTTAGCTGTGGGCCATGTATTACACCAGGTCATCGTGAGTAGCTTTGAAGTGGATGGCTTCTTGGATTACTTGCAGGACAACTTCCAGGGCACAAGCTATGAAGACAAGCTCAGAGGGAAATGGATGAGAGTGAATTGCAAGCCGGGTGACAAGGGCTTTCGGCAACGGCGTGAAAGCTGAGGAGACAACGCTGGCTGCATTGGCAGTTTTTGTGTATGTGGCGGCAAGGGGTGGCGGCTTTGAGCATGTCATCAATCTCGCCATATCTCTTGGTGGAGACACTGACACTGCGGCGAGCATGGCAGGTGCTTTGGCAGGTGCTTTGGCAGGTGCCTTTTGGGGCTGCAATTCTATTCCACCAGAATGGAAGAAGGTCTGTGAGGGCACTCAGCCAATGCTCCTCGCATCAACCTGCCACGTCAGGCACTGTCAGGGGGCCGAGTTGCAGAGACATGTGCAGTGAGAGGAAAGTGTCAGGAATGCCGGCGCCATGAGCAGGACACCCGCGAGCTGTGGAACCATGTGCTGAGCTACAAAGTGAAGCGTGACTCGGGAGCATACCATGGAGGAGCTGGCCAAGAAGAACTTTTCTTACAGCAAAGACTCAAGGATTTGCAAGATCACCAGGGCAAAAACCTTTTCACATTCAGGCAGATCTAGTGAACACATGCTGGGTCGCAGTTGATGCAAAGGGAGACTTTCTTTGTTCAATAGACACTGACAAGAATGGCGTGAAGTTAAATCAAGAGTTGACAAAAGCTTGGAAGATGAAGCAGGGAAAGGAGAAGAAAGGTCAAGCTCATAGGTTTGAGGTTGGTGAAGATCGTATTGCGGATTTTTCGCAGCAAGGGCATCTGGTTTTGTTGCACAAGGGCAAAAACACTAATCTAAAGCCATTGATCTACGATCGCGCTTTGCAGAGTTTCCGTTGAATCAAGGGTAAGTTTTCACGATTCCTGTAGAATCGCGGCACTACATGCAAGGCACCTTTGGATATGCTGAGTCCCAGTTCCTTCGCATGTATCAGCAGACCAGTCTGATACAAAACAGCGGGTTCACTGGCAAGAAGGTGAGGGTGACAAAAGTTGAGATTGTTTGCGGCGAATATGTGCGAAGAGCCTTCTGGGACCATGTCACCAAGAAATTCAAACAATGGACAAGTGTATGGCAAAGGCATCTATTTGGCTGTGAAGCAGGCCTTTCCATGATTCAGTGTATGAAAACCAGCTCGAATCAGCTCATTTTGGCACACATCAACTCTGATGAAGCAAAAGCCCAGCGGCAACAGGACGATGGCGGGGCAGTGGTGGTGTCCAATGAGAAGCATGTCTATTCGAAGTTCATCGTGCACTTTGAGCACGGTTGATCAACACTACCAGGGTCAGTTTTGAGCTGTGAGCACCTGCACCGGAAAAGCAATCTCTCTCGCTCTCTGTTTTCTATGGCCATTGGAGTCTTTCAGGATGTCTATATCTACCTCCGTCAGCGACCACTGAACCTAAATTTGAGACCTCACCCACCATGTTTTCCCTTTTTAGCACATGTTATCCCTAACCAACTTGCAAATCGTGCGGCGCATCGTGCACGGCGTGAGCTGTGTTGTACATGTTACCGCAGACCATTCGGACACTCCGCCGCCCGGCAACCCTCACACGGGTGAGCAGTGTGGCGCGGTCGCCACTGTGTTTAACATGTTAAACATTACACTCTTTTTCACTCTTGTTCTTCCGCCCGTGGAACCACGCTGCTGCCGTGACCGCGGACAGGGCATCGCACCTTGGTCTTCTCCCAGAGCGTCCGGGACCCGGCGGACCCATGGGACCAACCAGACGCAGGTCGGGTTGGCCCTTGCCCCGACGCCGGAGTCCACCAAAAGTCGGGAGAATGGCTGATTTTGGGTGGTGGAAATCCCCTGAACACGTGGACTTCTTGTAATCAGATTGTCCATTATTGTGCCAAACTTGAGACTTCTTCCGTGACCAATGCAGCGAAGCTGGAATGGCACAACTCCCCTGCGTGGCGGTTGACAGCTAAAGATAATGACGAAGAATCCGGGTTGGTCAGCAATGCCCACGTGGCCACCTGGAATTCTATATAACATATTTAGATGACCCCGCAAGGAGAGGCAAACAACCTGTGTAAACTCTCACAGTTTTGCAGATTGCATCATTGCTTCGACCCTGGCTAGACCTCTCATCCACTGACCTCCGTGAGACGTTCGCGTCCTCGCGTGACTTCGACTCTTCGCGTCCCGACTGCCGCGGATGTGGCGGAGTGGCGGAGGTGAAGATGTTGGACTTGGTTCAGATCTGTTGCCTCAAACCCAATGGCTTCCTGACAGCAGAGTTTTGTCGGCATGGGCACAGTGACTGGATTGGAGGATGACAGGCAAAAGACTGGCGACTGGACAGGCGGATGAGATCCCGTTTTGGAGGAGCGGTTTTGATGTGAGGACGTGGGAATATGTCTACAGAAAGATAGCTGAACTCACTGAACACCACCTCACCCATGCATCCAACGGTCACATGGACCTGCCTGTTGATGGGAGCTTGCCCTCTCACTGCTTCTTAGTCACTTCCACGTGTGTCCAGGGCAAAAGATCCGACTTTTCGGGTTCGGGAGTTGAAAGTTGTTGCGCCACCATTTATATACACCTTTTCACCACCATTCTTTTACTCTTTTTAAACCTTTTCAAGAAGCATGTCCTTCAGCCCCAAATCGCTGAGTTTCACTGGTGTTTCCATGTGGCTTTTTTCACTCAGCACTCCACCGCCCGAGGCCTCCGGTGCTTACGCATCGATGGGTTGACCGAAGCACAGGCCCGTGCAGAGAAGGCCCGGAGACGGAGAGAGGAGCGCAGACCCTTTTGGATGCGGAGCAGTGAAGACGGTCCATTGTTCCGGATTCGTTTGCAGCTTCTGGGATCTTTTCTGGGATTTTGTTTGGGATTCGGGGAAGTTGGACTGGATTGCACCTCACCGTCCAGAGGCCAAGAGTCTTAGTGTTGCTGATGAGTCCTTCCATAGCTTTGCTCCACCTTGTAAGTCACCTAGTTCGGGTTCCAAAGCAGCCTGCACGGGTCCACACGCTTGCGCTGCTTCGCGAACACAGGTGGCCAAGTTCAACAACCAGCCCGAGCGATTTCAGCCCCACGGCTGCGCATTTTCGGGGGTCAAAGGGAGGCGACGTGGTGTCACCTCGATTTTTTGGGTAAGGCATGAACCCGTGGCTCACAATGCGACAGATGGTCCTTAAGACAAGCCAAGTTCACCCTTCTTGGATCTATAAATCTACCAGGGGTCACAAAGGGGTGGTGTTTGTTCCCTAAGTGAGTGGCTCCTGGTACATGACTCTTCTCTCTTGGGCCCATCTCTCACTGGCCCACCTCTTCGCCCCCGACCTCGCCGGCGGTCTCGCGGGGAGTCCGGGATCCGAGGTGTATGCTGCTGACCACCGCGGTGGGTGGAGTGGGCCTGAACCTCACGGCAGCGGATCGGGTCGTCCTGGTGGATCCAGCCCCTCGACGCTGAGCCACGAGCGTTTTCAGCGGTGGAGCGGCGTTACGGGTGGGTGGGGCATTTTGGGGAGAGGGAGATGGGCAGAGATGGGATTCGTTGGATTCGGGGAACACGTCAATTAGTTTGCAGAGGTTCCCATGTTTGGAGCGCACTTCGTGATGTTTTTCCTGGGGGGGCAGGGAAGATCTGAACAGCTCAATTGGAGGTTTTGTAAGGTGTTTTGGACCAGGTGCCAGCCATGAGTCCATGAGGATTTGGCGTGGATTCACCAGAATCTACTGGTGACAAGGGGGAAGTCTACGAGCTGGAAATGCACATTGGCCTTGCATTGTTTTTGCCTCAAGCCAATGCACTGCTATGTCCCTCAGCTGGACGTTCTTGGACCATAGACCACAGATATCAAACTTCATGCCATTCCATAAGGGCTAGTAGTGGCTTTGGCAGGCCATAATGAATCACCTAACTTTCAGTCTCTTTCATGAAACGGTTGTGGGGTTTGTCCCCCCCCCACACCTCTCATGATGCGCGACTGCGTCTTGCAGGCATGGAATCCGGCTACCGATGCACAGGCAGGGCTAGTCAGTCGTAGTCGGAACGTGGCAGATGTTCTTTGGCGCATTGCCTGGCTCGTATGCCCAGTCAAACAGCAGCAAAGCGATGCTGGCCGATCTTCGGATTCTCAGTAAGTAAAGCATAGTAAAGCACTATAGAACTCACCACATCCTTGCACTTGGTGTTCCATATGCTTCCATGCAGTTCCACCCTTCACCGTCCTGGTTTCTGCTCCGGGCTTGGTTATCAGGCCGTGGATCGCGCATACCGCATCGGGCAGACCAAGGAGGCCTTCTTGGGGAACCAGGGCGGTTTAGGGATCAGTGTCCACGCCGATGAACACATCACATGGTGGTTACGTGGATGGCACCCCCTGTTTGTAAAGATGTCTTCTGACTCGAGTGAGTCAGAGTGTCTCTCCTCCATATCTCTTCCCATCTTCTTGAACATTCAGTGTCCATCATGGTGGACGGTTTTTCCAAGAATGAGGGAGGATCTAATATTGATTCTTCAAGCGCATCCTACTACGTGCTGTGCGGATTTTGGAGGCAAAGATATCTACAAGCAACAAGTTGGCCAACAACTTTTTTTCATTTCCATCGTTGTGAGTCTACCCTGCGGCCACCGCTGCCGGCAGCTAGAAAGCCACACCAAAAGAGCTCGCCCCCCATGCCTAAAAACAGCGCTTTAGTCTCTTGTCGTCTCAGCCACATGGGGACTTCGTCGCGCTAGGTGCGAGTGTATCGGCTCATTATGAGTGGACTGGTGGAAGACAAGATGTTCCGCCTGCAGGTTGGGGCGCCCGAAGAGGTCTGCCAAAGAGCTTTGATACGCGACATCATGCAGAAGCTTGATTTTGTCTCAACAAGCGTGAATAGGTTTTACAATCCCAGTGGGGGGGATTTTAACCAAGAGTCTGCAGTACCGTGGAAATCAGTCCTGAAAATTACGGTGCCCCAAAAGCCTTTGGAGCTTTGGAGGTTAGAATATGTCGGAAAGAAACGATCCTGTTGGTGCTTCACAGGGGCGACCATACTGTAGGGCACCAAATCTAGAATTCTGGTGCAACACCCAGGTCTTCAAGCTGAGAATCAGGTGCTTAGTGAGAATCAGGGAATGACCCTCTAAATACTTTCTCAGATACCTAAAGACATTCCTTGCGCACCAGGTCTTCAAGTCCACTCCAGAACGTGGACACCGAGTCCGCTGTGTGTGTGTTTCGAGGTCTTCAAGATGGGTCTCACGAGAACGGCGCTGGAAGCCGATCAGCAACACCGCTACTTCACGGCCCGGCCCTGGCCTGTTTAACAGCCCAACCTGGGTTTTACAGTGTGGTTGTCCGTTCTCGGCGGATCTGGGATTTTGGGGTGGAAGCACTTGAGGTTTAAGGGGTGATGCACAGTTAGTGTATTGGAAAACACCTTTGTAGTGGTCCCAAAAGGAAACAGATTTGATGTATCCAACCGTATCCAATACATTTTTGGAGGACATTTGCTTTTTGAGCCTTTTTGGGGGCTCACGAAAGGTTTGTGATCAAACATGATGTCTCTTGGGGAAGGGTTTTCGACTTTGCTTAAACCAGGTGCTACGAAGGAAGGTAGTTGGAGATGACGTTCCCGCGAAGAAGGCCTGTAAGGCAGCCACCGTGGTGAGCAAATGCACTTCTTGGTTCGCGCCGGGTGGTGCTGATACCCTTCCACCATTTTTTGCTAGAAAGGTGTGGAAGAGATCTAAGCCACGGGACTCTGAGGCGTGGACCTGGAATCTGGTCTTCCCCGGTGCAAACCTCACTTCTGGTCTTCCCTGGTTGACCATGTACTCTGCATGTCATACTAAGTCATCGCTTCGCCATTCCTGGCCCACCCGATCCTGCTTGGCTCAAGCTTCGAGTTTTGAAGAGCCATCTGCGCGCGGCGCCCCGAACCCCTTCCTCGTGGGGGGGGCGCCTGAAGAAATAGCGCGCGGGTCGGTTCGGCTTTGGGGGCCTCTCGGGCCGTGTGCTGGGTGAACGATGCGGTGCCTCGGTGTGCGATGAAGGCGTTTGTGCGGTTGGGTGAGGGGTTGGGTGAGTAGAAGGAACCTAGGGCCTAGGGCCGCCTAGGGTATGTTCAACATGTCTGTAACTTATGATCCTTTCAGAGCGTCTCTGAGGAAAAGGAAGCACAAATTGCTGACGCTTTTGCGGGCTACAGACCACCTGAAACTCTACTTGGACATGAATGACCTGACTCTTTGACTCCGTAGAGGAACTCTAAGATGATTTGGCCAACTTGAAAGTCCAAGCTTTTTGGGGGTCGCCCCTTTATTTCGTGCTCCACCTGCCGGTGGTGCCAGTTGTGCCAGACGCCACGCGAAGCTCACGCGTGGTGTGCCGAGGTTTGGGAAGCTGTTGGCGGCTGTGACACAGAACAGTCCAGCAAATGAGCCTTACATCTCCTACAAGGCCTCCCATCACATCCGATCGCCGTGGACCGCGGATATAGCTCTCGGAGATCTGTTTGATCAGGCCTCTCAGGTTCTGGAATGACCTCTATTCTTTTTTAAAACCACCAACCAGGCCCTAAACCCTGTCAAAAAGAAGGAGTTATAGACCAGGGGTTCTACTGTAGGACCGCTCTACTACTACAGACAGCTGCTGTCACAAGGGGCAGGAGATGAAAACATCGATGCTGGGTGGTGGTTTCCAAATATCTTCATGTTCCACCTGTACTTGGGCATGATTTATCCCACTGACTCATATTTTTCAAGTGAGTTGAAAGACACGGGCGAGCGATGCAGGGGCGACCCTGATCAGTGATACCCAAGCTCTGCTTGGACTGTCTGTTTGGATGGTGCTAACATTTGCCATCTAAATGTGACGTGGGTTTGCCTCAAGCAGTCGGACACGTGGGGTTCAGTCGTACACGAGGGGTTCAGGATTACAAAGACTTCCACACTTGATCCTACAACGGTACATGGGGAGCTGGATTTTTGAGATTTGCCCGGGAATTCGCGTCCCCCACTTCACACCCAGGTCTGCATTCATGTTGGATGTTGAACGTGTCGGACGTTGCAGCTGCCACTTCCTGTATATATATATATATAGATTATATTTAATGTGATACATATATATATATATGGCTCAAGGCTCGAGCTGTTTCCTGCTCAAGCCCGGCCCATCTTTGAAGATCAACGGCACTGGATCTTCTCCCACACTACGCGAGACCGAGCCCTACTTCCTTGGTGTCCTCTTCGGTGTCTGGCACGGATCTCATGGCTTGGAAGGGCTGCCGAGCCTACCAATGCTGCAAGACAGCGGAGTGCCACAACTGGATTTGGGAAGATCGCATACAGCCTCACTATGTCTGCCGGATGTGCTCCACTCCTTGGACTATGCCATCTCAAGGCTATGCTCAGGGCACCAACAGACGGAGGCCATCATGGCAAACCACACGACGTGTTTCTCCACCTCCAGGACTTCCGGCCAGCAAGCCGCCACGACAGGCAAGACTCCAGAAGTCTGCGGCTGACATCTTGGCCCCAGCCTGGTCGACTCTAGACGAGGACATGAAGGCCAAGTTGAACCGACTCCAGTGAAAGAACTGGTCGAGCGCCTGACCAAGCCACAGCCGGAGACTGAGAAGGACATGGCATCGCGCCTCAAGCAGCAAGTGACCACCTTACGGGACATCTCGATCAAGAAGCAGACCCTTCAACACAAGATTGACAACACCAAGAAACTCTACCAAGAGTTGCTTGACGAGATGAAGGCCTTGCAGACCCGGCTAGAGCAGGAACAGGCCACTCTCACCACTGTCAGTACAGCTTACCTGACAAAGGTCAGCTCCTCTAAAGGCGCTCAAGCCTTGCAGCCTCTTGACACGGAGATGGCTGATTCAATGCCTGAGGCCGTAGCCGGTTTCATTACGACCCTCGGCGTGAACCTCACACAGGCACAAAAGGAGCAATTGAGCCTCATGCTGAAACGTCCACCAGCTGAGGATGAAGCTTTGGATGAAGAAGCAAAACGACGCAAGACAGCTTTGGCTTCCAACGGATCGAGCGGGTAACAGCACTAATGAGAGGCCTCCGTCTCAGGCCTCTGACTCCTCTTGGGGCTTGCAGTCATGTCTTGATGCACATGACATGGGGCACTTTCAACCATCTTGCAGGGGTAATGCATCTATGGTTGACCTCTTCAATCTTTCAGGCTCAAGCACGGGCCTCTCTTCATCCACGGTGGCCTATGGACCGCAACGTCGCACCCTGACGAAGCTCAAGGTGTTGGGGGGGCGTCAACCGCCTTTTTGGATCAGCCAGGCCAGCCAACTGAGGCACCGGGTTCTTCTACCTCAGAACAGCTCCCTCGGGAGACTGTTAGATTCGGGACCTCAGCTGTGCGGGCCTTGGCCTCCATCCTCAACATGGAGGATGGCGACGATGTTTTGACGTTTGAACAACGTGCTCTTTTTGACCTTTGCAGCAAAGACATGATCCGCACTTGCCTGCACTATGGGCGGCACCCCACTCCTCATGGGGGTCAACAGCTCCTCATGGACCTTCGCCGCATGCAAAACCTGGTACAAAAGCACCTCAGTGTTCATGGTGATGTTGAGCGCAGTGTCTACAATATCTACATCATCTCCCAATGCTTGACCACCATCCTGGAGAATCCAGGAACCTGTGCTACGCCAACGCACCCTGGCGATGCTGGTGTTGGACGGGCGCCTTCGCTGAAGACATGGTTCAAGCCTGGGGCCGCACCCATCCTGCCGTTCGAGATTTTCTGGCAGGCAGTGAACCTCAGTCACTCCCGGATCTCCCCGACATGGCCCACATCTGGCCACATTTTGGACCAGCCGACCAAGCGGACGCAGCTGACTTCTTGCAATCGATTGGACCTTCTCGGGTAGCACCTACTTTGCTGGGAGATTCTTTCATTGCAGCGAAAGAGGCCACACCGAAGAAAGGGAAAAATATCCTCTTCCCGGACGGAACGGGGGAGATTTCCTTGGACACCTTGATCAACAACTGGGCTGACGAAGGACGAGGACAGTTCCTCTATGGCTCTCCGGGAGGCTTGGTTCTGAACCTTCAGAGATCCACCCTTGTTGACGGCACCTGGACCAAGCACCACCGGGAGTTGGACCTTCCCACTCGTCTCAACATCCCCTTCTCAGAAGACGGAGAACATGTCCACTATGCCACCTACCAGGTTGTGGGACTCGTGCTCCATCAGGGGGCCTCGCATGAGAACGGGCACTACCAAGCCATTTTGGCCCTCAACAATGTCTATTGGCTGGCTGATGACAATGCCTATCCAGTGCCCATCGCACATCTCACATCCCAGCAGAGAACTGAAATCTCCCAGGTTTGGCTGACCTTAGCTCCCACTGACGAGATGGTCACTGACACTGCCCTCGAGCTAACTGGCCAGGAAGCCAAGAAAGCCCGCATTTGTCACGAAACACTTCACTTCTCCTTCAGCAACGTCACCTTCTTTGGCAAAAAGGTGCAAGACTGGATATGGGGTCAGGGAGACACCATCATGTTCTTCCAAGAGACTCACCTCCAGCAGAAGGCTATGGAGACTGCGCAACAATACTTCACCAGCCGAGGCTGGAAGACGCACGGGGTGGCAGCTGAGCCCACGGGCCATGGAGGATCCACCGGGGGACTCCTCACCATCCATGCCACCAGACACCTCATTCACCACGTCCACACATACACTCAGCAAGGAAACGGCTGGACGGCTCTTGCCCTTCAACGAGATGGCTGTGAGATCCATCTCATTCAGCTCTATCTCAAAACGGGGGAATCGCTTCAATCCCCACTCAATGCCGACATTTTGGGTCAACTCCTTCAGTTCTTGGACCACCTTCAGGCCCCCTTCATCATTGGCGGAGATTGGCAAACAGCTCCGGAAGACCTGGCCGCCACGCACATCCCCAGCAAGTTCCGCGCTCAGATCCTGGCCACACAAGGGCCCACAACCCTTCAGGGCAGCCATCTGGACTTTGTCCTCGCCTCTACCTCCATTGCCGGGGCACTTCGCTTGGAGGCGAACTGGGAGGTTCCCTGGAAACCGCACTGTGCTCTTGCGCTTCAGTTTGATTGTGGACACGCAGCCAAACCGGTGCTACAACTGCAGCGCTTTCCTCCCATCTCCCGGAACTACAACCCTCAGCAGCTCTGGACCAGTTTTGCTGAAGATGATGGCCCTTTCAAGATTCTTGGCCAAACCATCACGGGACTCGGCTCTGACCTTGCGCGCTGGGCCACTCAGACTGAGAAGTACCTTACTCAGAACCGTCAGCGACCTGTCACAGGACGAGGCTCTCACATCAAGCTCTACACTGCCCCTTTGGCGAGCTCGTCCAAACCGAGAGTGTGGAAGAAAGGCAGTGCCGCCTTTTGGGAGAAGATGGGCATCAGATTAAATCTGGCCTCCCATGGGCGCTACCCAGGCCTCTTGCAGGACCTCAAGGACATGATCAGGCGGATTCCACAACATGCCTCCACCGAGCTTGATCAACCACACCTGGAAGAACAACTTCTCCAGTGGATCTTCGGGGGCACCTCTCTCCCTGGGAGTCTCCATTCAAATCATCCAACACGAGCAGGACCTTGCACAACAGCAGATGCTGAGTGCCACCAATCATGAATTCCGTGAATGGCTTGAGAAGGCACATGACAAGGGTCTCCGTGGTTTGTTTCGCAGCCTACGTCAGAAAGATCATGCATGGCAGAGGCCCTTCCAAAATCTCCCTTCCACCCTTCGCACTGAAGCCAGAGAACAACAATGGGGAGCCATTTGGAAGCCACTTGACGGACCACTACAAGTCAGAGGACTCATGGATTTGCGGCGTGAAGCCCAAGCACAGGCCCTACAGCAGAAAGGGGTTGACTCCAGCCTCTTGCAGAAGATCATGAGGAAGCTTCCCAACAAAGCAGCAGGTCCTGATGGCATCTCCTACGACTTCCTTCGCCACCTTCCCTACCCGGCGGTGGAACGACTGGCCAAGCTCCTCACGGAGATGGAACAGGAGGCAGAGCTACCTCTACAACTGCGACACACCAACATCGTGACGATCCCAAAGAATGAGCGCATTGAGAGGCCCATCGCCCTGACCTCATGCGTTTATCGGCTGTGGAACTCCTACCGCAAGCACGACTTGCAGAAGTGGCAATTGGGTCTGGACAAGGACATGCCATGGGACCATGCCAGACCGCATAAAGACTGCCTCTCCATCGCCATTGGCCGCATGCTCAAGGCTGAGATTGGCAAGCACCACGGCATTCACACGGTCACCTGCTTGGCTGATCTCACTTGCTTCTACGACACTGTTCAGCTGGACCATCTCATTGAGCCTGCCAGAGTCCTTCAATACCCACCATTGCATCTCAAACTGGCATTGGACCTCTACACAGGACCTAGGCTCATCCAAGCAGAGGGCATCGCCGGGCACCCCAAGTACTATCAGAATGGCATCCTGCAGGGCTGCCCTCAGGCTCCTGCCATTGCCAAGCTGGTTCTCTACCAGCCTCTGCGGTCCTTGGTTCAGGAACATCCAGCTGTTCTTCTGCAAACCTGGGTCGACGACGTCTCCTACGACATCAAAGGCACCGATCCTGAGTATGCCGCCCGGGAAGCCGTTTTAGCCTTTCGCACTCTGCAACGACACTTGCAAGCCGCTGGCCTGCAGCTCAACACCGACAAGACAGGCTTTCTCACCAGCAGCAAGGAAGCAGGCAAAGCCCTTGATGCCCTTCTCCAGGCTGATGATCCTCAACATCACAATGTCCTTCGAGATTTGGGCATCGATGCAACGAACTCCAAGCGAAGACGCATCACACAAATCAAGAAACGCTTCCTCAAAGGCAAAGGCCGAGCTGGCATCATGGTGCGCCTCAAGTTGCGCACCTCCATCAAATATCGTCTACATCGAGGGGCCATCCATCCTGTGATGAGCTGGGGAGCGCAAGCGAACGGGATGGCGCCGCAAAGACGACAGCAACTACGAGTGATGGCCGCCAGAGGCCTAGGTTTGCAGCGCACTGGCTCGGTGGATGTGGTGTTTGACATGCATCCTGACAAAGCGATCCTGGTGACTCCATCATCTTTCAGCACATCCACACGGTGTGGCGAGTTCTGCACTCCTTTGATGCCGGAGCCCAACACCTTTTCTGGGTCAGTTGGAAAGGGGCTCTGGAGCAACTTCAGAAAGCCAAATACCGGTGGCAGGTCGTAATGCAAGCCCTCCAGGCCTACCTTTTGGACTACGACTTTGACATCTCCAATGGCAAGCAGTGGACGAGGAAAGGATATGGGGGCATTCCGGACTGCCACATCAGCCTGGAAGCCCTTTGGCCGGAGATACAGCGCAAGCTCCTCGAAGAATTTCAGTGGCAACGCCTCCTTCGCCTGACAAGGCACACTGGCTGCCACGACCTCGAAAGGAAGCTGGATTGGACGGTCAGCAAAACATTGCAGAAGATCACTTCTGACAAGATAGCCACTGGCATCAGAGCATTTCATCAAGGCACCTTGCAGGGACATCATGGTCAGTGCCCCCTATGTGGAGTGGAACTCACTTTCATACACCTGCTTTGGGAATGCAGTTTCTGGGAAGGACGTGTCCAGCCGTTACCGGAGCAATGGAAGGAGCGCATTCAGGCCAATTCAGAGCCTGAACTGTGGAATAGAGGAATGGTTCAGTCCATCTTCTACATCCCTGACGGCGGCATGGCCACCTTCACAGGAGAAGGACTTTGGGCTGGCTTGGAGGCCTGCAATCTCCCTCCAGGTCATGCTGTTTCTTTAGCAGTGCACCCACGTCCAAAGACCCTCGACATCGCAGGTTCGTCTTCGCCATCTGCATTCACAACGTCTTCACCAAGGAGCGTGTAGCCTCCCTCACGGGCATATGCCCTGGTCAGGCTACCAGGCTTCGTGCCTTGTTCTATGGGCTGAAACACCTCTCCCTGCACATCCATGACAAGGTCCACGTGGTTGTCTTCCAGCACAGCATTTGGAAGCACTGGGCCTTCATGGCAGCACATGAGCGCTTTCCGGACATCAGCCAAGGATTGGAACATGAAGACTTTGATCAAGTTCGACTGCTCCTCTTTGACCGCAAGGAGATGGATTCCAATCCCAATCGACGGGTATTCCAGAAAGACACCCAGTCCAAGGCGGATCAAGCTGCCCTTTTGGCCCGTCCTGACGAAATTCTGGATTTGCAACGCCGCATTGACGAGGACACCCGGGATGTCTTGAGTGTGGCCGGAACACGGATGGACACCCTCCTTCGGAACAAGGAGCACTTCTTGCATCACAAATCCTCCTCTGAGACACCGGCCAAAGTCCCAATGGTGCAGCAGAAACGTGCACTACTCAGCAGCTTTCTCCAAGAGCCAAGTGCCACGGGTCACCAGTGGACCACTTTCAGGTCTGGAGTCCAATGCACCCTGTGTCGTCAACGCTACCACACCAAATCCCTCCTCAAAGAGCTCAGAGAAGGCTTGACTTCACCTTGCACTCATGCAGGGCCCGTCAAAAAGGGCAAGAAGACCCGCTTCGAGATCATCCATGATCTCATCGAGAGCCAGGGTGAACCAAGGGCAGGAACACATCACCTGCGCCTCGAGAAAGCGTACTTACGCTGTACCTTGTGTCGTGGCTACGTGCTTGCCAGAGCTGGAGAGGAATCTTTCAACCGCTTCCTCGGTGAAGTTTGTCACCATGGACCACTAGAAGCTCACCTCTGGCACGGACATCATTCACATCGAATGACACGGACCGGAGCGCAGATCGAATGCGAGAGATGTCATGAACGAGCCCGGATCCGCAACAACGACTCCTAAGCTGAGAAGCCCTTGCAGGACGTCCACCTATGGCGACATCAGGCAGCTGTTGGCATGAGCCCAACTTCGACTTCAGCGGATCGAAAAGAGCCGGACAAAAAAAAAATGTGATATATATGTATCTAGATTGAACCCCATACACTGCCGCTGGAAGAGGACATCCTTGCACAAGGTCTCTTTTTTGGAGGGGTTCAAGTTAAGATGCGAGGACTTGCTTCTGAGCTGCGCTTGATTTCCCTACAGTTTCCTGCTGCAATTTCCGCTTGCAGGAGCTGAAACACAACATTAGCAAAGTCTCCGTTGTCTGCAGTGGAAAGGCGCTTGGAGGGTGGCAGCGCACGTAGCCGTGCTTGCCCCGAGTCCTAATCCGTTCTTGGCCTCCCAAAAGTTCAAAAAGGTCCAGACTTTTCAGGGAGTTCCAACCAACAAAAGGTTCTTTCTTACCACGAAAGGCTTCCGAGAGCTAAAGAAGCTCGCCAAGACTCAGGCTATTTTGTCATGCATTTTTTGGATCCTGCAGTCGCATGCGGTCTCATGCCGTTGCGAAGGGTGCGGGATTGGTTCAATTGGAGGGTTTCCTGTAGATGTTCCCTGAAACATCCTTAAACCCATTCTGGGAGCCATTTTTCGCAGGGTCTTCCTTTTCAGGACCACACCCTTTTGGGAAAACGCACAGTGACCGTTGTTCCGTGTTGGTCTCGTAGCTGTACGTCCTGCGGAGCGATCGTCCGGCGTCTGCAACCTGGCAAACTGTTCATTCGGTTCCAAGGGATTTGTTTGGCTTGCAGGAAGAACATCCAAGAGGTTTTTCTATTTTTATTCGTTTCTCCGGGGATGGACGAAGCCTTTTTTTGAGGACGAAGCGAATCCCACTTTCACGGAAAGAGGATTTGGGTACGAACTGGTGCAGCCCTCTTTCGTGTCGCGTGCCATGTCTTTACACAGAAATTCCTTTTGGCTTGAATTTCTCTCAGCAACATCCTGTGACCAGGATGAGGATAACTCCAGTGGAGATGGCGAGACCCTTAGAACTCTCCGGGATTCTTCGACGGATCTTCAGTCGTTGACGCGGAGGTTGGTGGTCGGACGGTAGACGGTATTTCCAAAGAGGTCAAAGCGTTTTGATTGAAGATCGGCCCGAGGGTGTTTTCCCATCCAGCTTCCTGGTGGTGTTGATGCAGCCATTGAAGTTGAGAGAAGTGAGGCCTGAGGTAGTGTTCAATGGTTTGTGCCACTATGTGCCAGACTGTAAAAACCAAGAATCAGAGTGCTTATATATATATAGCACAGGGAATCAACGCCATGATAGCATAATGAACAGGAACCTCTTTTCGGGGCTATTAGAATTCCCAAACAGGGCCCAAACAGGGGGTTTTGGTATATGAGCTTGACTGAACACTCAACTTCTGTTGAGTTTGGACCCCGCCAGTGGTTTCGCCCGCCCAACCACACCGGCTCAGATGGGGCACTCCAGCAGGACGACCGGACCTGACGATCGGTTAGAAGGCTCAACAAGAAGGGCCAGCTAACACATGCGAAGGAGTTCATTCGCTATTTGAACCACATGGAAAACTCCACAACCACTGAGTTGGTCTTCGGACAACGCATCAAACGGGTTTCAACCGGTGAGTGGTCGGGTTCCATGGGATCGTGCGAAGTCGGTCGCAGCTGCTAGCTGTCGGGGTAGCTGTTGGGGTATCTGCAGTTGCCAATTAAGAGTAAGGTGAGCAAGCAGCATGGCGAAACATCCTAGAAGAATCTCAAGCTTTTACCAGTGAAGTCAGGCTAAACGAATCTAAATGAACTACAATGGGTCGCTCCCTGACGAAAAGGGATTGAACAGAAAGTGTGTGCACCTGCCAACTTGGTGGGCTTGTAGAGGAGGACGTCTTTCAAAGGTTTGCTTTTCAGGGGTTGATCTTCTTCTTGGGAGTGAAAGGTCAAGGAGTCAAGGAGTCAGCCACTGCTAGTCCACACCTCTTTCAGCGTTTGGTGATGGGCCCAAGAGCCCCAGGCAGTGTTGCTGTTGCTATGGAGATGTTGATAGGCATCCCACCAAAAAGATCGCCAGATTATACACATCTCCAACGAGCTGCTGAGCTGAGCTGGCATTCCTTTTGTGGATGTGGACATGCTGACACATGTGCATCACGGGGGCCAACGTGGTAAAGTTCGGAGCTAGCTGACTGTGACTCTGACTTGAAACTGTCCTTCTAAGCGGCAAGATGGCAGGGCTAGTGGCATTTTCTGGCCAACCGCAGCCATGTTGGGTTCTACACACCCCTGCAGACTGCAGACGTGATTTTTTTCAACTCCTGCAGAGACCAGCGACCAACTCCGCAGGAGATCCTTGAGAGTTACGCTGCATCCTCCTCCTCCTCCGTCCTGGTGCGGAATGCGCGGATCTTCCTGGTTTTCACCAGTGAATAGGGACTCCTACTTGGGTGGAATCATACGCACCAGTAGGAGCCCATGTTTTTTTTCTTCTTGGTGTGGAATGTGGAGACGGGTCGTGACCCACCATGTGGAGACCCGTTGACTTCCACTTCGTCGTCTCGCTGACTTCCAAAAGAAACGGTTGAAGGGGCGGTCCACGGGGTAGGTGCGACGGTGCCATGCACAGCCACCCCTCGGTCCAGGGGTGATAAATGAAGATCATCAGATCATCGATTTGTTTGCAGACTGGGCAAAATGATGACCGACAAGTTCGGGCACCATGGGTCCCTAGTGAGCCCTGCGAACGCTGGCGAAGCTGGACCCATCGGATTTGGGCGCCCACGGTACTTGGTACCTCTCCAGGACCCCATCCCATCCAAAAGACATCCCATCACTCTAACTTGGGGCATCAGTACTTTATGCCCTGGAAGAGACCCACATGGAACCTGAAAAGCACTGAGTTTGTAGAGGAACATCATCTTCCAAATAGATCCATTCCATCAGGTTCCATGGGGGTCTCTTCCCCTGTGTAGGTGAAGGGACATTTTTCAACATCTCCTTTTGAGTTCAGAACTCTTCGAACTTCCACGAAAGACTCCTCTCCCAAGGTCTTGTGGCCTGGTTCGCTGGTTGGACAGGGGGGTCCTTGTTCCTTTTGGGGCGCCATGGGTGTCATCGTCGATTTTGTTCGTTGGTGGAGACGTTGGTCGATGGGTTTCATCGAAGGCGGCGAGTTCGAACCCGAAGATTGTGGGGCCGCAGCAGGAGCGGGTCTCCCGGGTCTCAAGAGGACGGGCCGGTCGCAGGACGACCCGGTCCGGAGCTGCGCAGTTGATCGGGTGTGGATCGAGTTGATCGGATGTGTTGGTCGATTTGGAAGGGAGGGGCCCTCCAGGATTCAGGGCCCTCCAATGGATTTCAATAGCCGAAGCAACATCGAACAACCATTAATATTGTTTTACTAATGTTTTGTTTTTCAGAAAAAAAACGGGTCGTTCCCATTTGTTTGATCGACCTGAAGCCGAGGCGGGTGAGTGGCACAGTGGCACGAAGTGGCACATGGCCGAAGGTGGTTCACCGGTGACCAGCTCTTTAAATACCTTTTATAATTTTTATATAGTACAATGACATGCAGGCCGCCAGGCACCGCGACATCAAAGGAAAATGCCCACACGTTGTGAACACCCAATGGGCGGCTTGGTGACCAGCGGTGCGCCCCGCAACTCCTCATTCAGCCCACAATCATGCGAGGGTTCCAGACACCAGGGGGCCGCAAGCAAAATCAAAAGCCAAAAACCGTGCGAGCTGAGCTGTGCAATCGCCCACTGAGCCCGAGGAAGAAATGCACACTTTCCTTCCACGGAGCCCGCGCACGGGAGCACGACGGACCGGCAAGGAAAGACCGGGACCCTCACAACTCGGCCGCTGAAAGGTTTGGCTTCACATGCCCAAAACAACGGGTCGCCCGGGAACCCGCGCGGGATTCCACGAATCCGAACACAACAGGCGAGGCTCTCCGTCCCGAAGAGGCTCGGTTTCTGGGTACGACTGAGAGGCGAGGCTTAAAAGTAGCGCTGCCAGCGGAGGCCACTCACCGTCAGATTCCGTGCACTGACATGACAAAGAGCACCGCCTGCTATTGAAAAAAGGGCAAAGTAGATCCACGCAGCAGATACTCTCAGCCACTTCCCATCGGAAGCCATTTCATTGGCCACTTGCAACCACACTCGTCACCTATATACCCTCTCTGACCCGAGACAGGAGCTTCTCCAAGGAAAACCGGTCCTTGCCTTCGCGACCCGAAAGCAAGCTCAGCATCTCCGCATCTCCGAAGATGGCAGGCTTTCTTTGTTTTTGACCACCCCCAAAAACAGTGGACACCGGGACAGAAGCAATGTCTTCCGCGGTGCCAACGAAAAACAGCAATTCCAAACCTTGGACTGTGCTCGGCCAATTGCACTGGCTACTGCCCGTTCAGCTGCAGCATCATGTCATAGCTGCCGGAATACGGCACCCCTGAAAACCACCGGAACCAATCCAAGGCCCATGCCGGACCGATGCGACGTCGAGCGACGCGTTGTTTCGGTGCCGGTGCCGCCGGCATGGCCGCATGGCCAGCTCCCAGAGCTTCACTGGACTCGGTTCCTTTCCGACTCGTTCTCTTCCCACCCCCTCAGGACGGGCACCGGCCCTCCCCTCCCCCCAAACTGCGCAGCTTGATCTTAGCTCGCGCATGGATGGCCAGCTTGCCAGCTCACCCAGCTCGCCGAGCTCGCTGTTTCCTTTTTTCGCAGGATTTCTTCAGCTTGTTAGATCAAGACCTCACGGCCGCCCAGTTCGGGGGCCTCGGAACGGTGACCGACCCTGAACGACGGCCCTTGGTCCTCCATAGCGCGGTGTGGAGGTGAACTCCGGTGACCGCAGGAGTGGTGGGATCAAAGAAAGAAAACAAAACAAAGAACAACATCAACAGTGGTTTTTCACAAAGGGGTGGTGTTTTAGTCCCTAAGCAAGTGGATTAGGTTGGCACCCCCAACCTTCATTAAGCACCCCTTTGTGACAACATCAACAGTGGTTTTTCAGAGGTTCGATGGCACACTCCCCAAGGTCGGTGGCTGATATAGACCCCCATCTTGTCAGGACACCAACACTGAAGCCAAAACAAAAGGGGTGAAGCTGAGATAGTGAGTCTCCACCGACTGGATCAAGCGACCACAGACAGCCTAGACACTACTAGACTCCGATAGACCGAATGAACGCCCTGGATAGACCGTAACCCAGGCATGGCACGTGGTGCCTGCTTGGGGATATCTGGTGTTTTCATGTGACGACTGATGACGAGAGAAAGACCGGCGACCCCGGCTGATCCCCAAAAGAATGAAGGATTTGCTGCACATTCTGAGGTTCTGGGATGTTCTGGGATCTTTTTCTGCTGTTCCATTTTTGGCAGCTGGGGTGAAGTGGCTGGCCAAGAAGTAGCCGGGAGAGAAGAGTGAAACACTGTGAGAATAGTCCTTTGATGACTTAACCCCTCTTTCCAGAAATCGAAGCTGCACCATCCAAAGACCCACATCACCTTCGAACGTCGATGTTTTGTGCACGTCGGCGGCGGTGTCACGCTCCACATCACGCTCCACGCCCCCATCACCGCTATGTCTCATTGGTCTGGTCGCTGCCGCACCACGCAAAAAGATCGGAACCGAGGCTTTACGTCCAAAGCAACGTGTCGGACGTGGAGGCCATGCTTGGAGAATGGCAGGCCTGGACGGGCGGGAAAATCAAACACAGCGTGGTTGTTCGCCTAAAGCCCGTCGCCTCCGAAGCGAGCTTTGCGTGGAAGTCCAATCGCCTTACTGTAGACGTGCAGTATATCTTCCAGAAGTTTTGGCACACATCCCCCAGACACCTGTGGCTTGTTAGGAGCAGTTCTGCTTGTACAGAGAGAATTGATGAGAATTTCTGTCGTAGTGATGACCCCAAGCGATCGTCCGGGCTGGGGCAACAGGGTCGCAGCATTGCCGTATCTGATGGTTCAATCCCTTAGTTGACGAGGCCACATGTTGTTGCACACTTGCCAAAAAGGGAATCAAAGTAGTCAAAGCAGCATAAAGAGAACCTGCCTCCACGTGTCTACACAAGCTCCAACAAGGTGTTGAGTAAAACAACAAGGTCTTTGGAGCTCGAGTCTGAACGCACCGGGTTTGCCCAGGTTGCTGCAGTGAAGGCGGGCTTGATCTTCACTCCTCAGCAACTGGAGGAGGTCCGTGGGTGAAAGAAACACCCGCAAAAGCGCGCCGCGCAGTCCACGTGGCATGCGGAGTCTCCGGTGGCTCCTGGTTCACCCTGGTGGCTCTTTTCCAACCCTGGTGGGTCCTGGTTCACCCGGTGGCATATATCTCGGACATGGGTCGTTTGGAACATGGTGTCCGAGAAGGTGTCCGCGTAGCCGACAGGACGTTGGACGTTGGACGGAGGACGGACATGGGTCGTTTGAAGAAGAGAAGGAGAAGGTGACCAAGCACATGAGACAGATCAAGACCGACCACATGAGAGAAGTGACCAGTTGGTTTTGGTGAGATAGATAGATCAAGATAGATAGATAGATAGATAGATCAAGACCCCAGCATGGAAGCAGGTGGACGGTCTCCTCTGGGGTGAGGCGGAACTCCCAGACTCGAACTGGAAGACTCCGCTCATCTTCAGACGGGTGGTGGCTTCGCTTCAATGCTTCCTTTCAAGCTTTACGTCTTAGATCATTGATCCCCATTGATCCCACGTACTGGCTCCTATTTTTGCCACCAACCCACACAGTCAAGGTTTTGGACTCTGTTTGGAGTGGAAGTAACTCCACTTCAGAGTCACACTTTGGCAACTTCGGCCCTGGCCACTGGCCGCGGGCCTAAACCGGTGGAGAGCTCTACCTCATCAAATGGAGGGATTTCCGGACCTTTCTCCGTGCTAGTTGTCGCACTGGCCAGGAGTAGGAGTTTGACACTTTGAGCCTTGGCAGGCTTGTTTTATCTGTTGAACAACACCAAACGCTGGTCAGACTCAGACCAACTGCACTTCCACCTTTGGAGCCAAGCCTAGAGATGCAAGACGAGACGATGACCGAATCACTTGGCAGGTCCAGAGGCAGCTTCCTGTACACATGGAGGAGGACGGATGGAGGGATGGAGCCACGGCTAAGATGCTTTAAGTCAACATAACATCCCTTCTTCGTCCAGGCCACTCGTGTTTGCAGCCATCCGGGCCGTCACGTGCCACCATCACATGAGCAACTGACAAGCAGTTGGACCGCTGGAGAAGAGGGACACAAACTAACATCACCTTTCCCCATTTAAGATGCGGATGGCACAGGATTGAGCTTGCGTTCAGTGAGTCGTGCAACAACATGTTTGATGTCTCTTCTTTTCATCATTCGTTCTTTTTTGCTCTCTCTCTCTCTCTCTCCCTCTCTCTCTCTCTCACTTGTTTCTATTTTCTTTTCCTCTTTCCCAGGCTCCCGACCCAATTGGTGCAGATATCTCCTCTTTTCCGAGCATGACTGCCTGCCTGCGCAGGAAGCCTTAGTCGTCCGAGCCCGAGCTCGTGGGGGGAGTTGTCCGACGGGATCCGACGGGTTCAGGTTTCCAGAGAGATCTTTGTAACTGGCAGCGCCGGTTTTGGACTCGCGCCACGGAACTCCCCTTCGAAGCACCGCCCTTTTCGGGCCGCACCTCGCGGACGTCGAAGCCTCGCCGTCGACTGCGCGGTGTCGGACGTGGTGCACAGACTTGCCGCACCGACGCGTCCGGTCCCCGGTGCGCCGCGGCTCCGAACTCGTCGCCCTGAGGACTGGCTCTTGTCGTTGACACCGGGTGCCAAGACTCGGGCTGCCAGGCCGCGGGCGTTGACGCCCTGTCGTGTTTCTGACGCTTCTTTGGAGTGGTGGAGAGCGATCCAAAGCAGAAAAACCACTTGCTGGGTAGATCCAATCGTTCTGCACTCGGGGTGGACCCGCTTTCGGGCCCAAGATAGGAGTTCATGGTTGCCCCGTTGGGGAGTCAGTCTATATACAGTATGTCCATGGAGGTGGCCTTGGAGTCCAATCAATTTGGAGGACTCTCATCAAACCAGTGATTCAGAATTTGAATTGATCATTCTTTTTTGTAATCTAACTTGATTCTGAATTGGGAGAACTGACCTAGGTCAGTTAGTGCCGGTGTCGCAGTGGACGAGTCTTTTTCAGCTGGGACCGCTCCAGCCGTTCGACAGACGTTCCCTGTGCCAGGTTTGCCTTGGTGGACAAGTGACCAGGGACGGAGCTGGATGACCGGTGTCGCAGTCGCAACTGAAGACCTGGCCACATCATCCTTATCATGCAATGGTCATTTTTTTTTTCGAGGTGTGCATTTTCGTTGGAACTGCTTGGAGTTTCTATATGTTAGAGAGATTTCATCCGAGAATACCTTGCAAGACTTTCCAGTTGTCATGCCTTGCAGTTCCCCCAATCCGGTTTTGGGATTCAACACCTGCTCCGTTGGACGCAAATATGGACGCCTTAGACTCGGTCTCATGGGCACGGGCATCACTCTATTCACACGCAACGATACAACCATGTGATGTGAACACATGAGATGGTCACATATGGGTCACCCAAAGATCCAGGTGGTGGACCGTGAATTGATGATGGACAGTTTGTTTGGACGCTAAGGTGTTAGAACCGATGTGAACTGCTCCACCAGTTCGGTCCAGTTGGCTCCAAAGGGGCGGATGCCCACCTCGGTCGCAGAGAGAGATATGATATATTCCCCAAACCGTGTGGGCACACTGAGGGGTTCTTACGGTAGTGGAACATCCAGAACCGTTTTCTTTTTTGGTGTTTCTCCGGGTTGGACATGTCCGAACACGTCCCGTGACTGTTTCTCCGCGCATCGATCCGCATCGATCCGTCGGACCGTCGGACGAGTGATGCGACCGGAGGTATTTCGGGTTCAGTTGACGGCGGCCTTCGTTCTTTTTTGGGGTCCACCCGTAACACCCGGGGTCGGCTGTTTTTGAGAGATCAGCAAGTGGTGAGTTCACAGCTTGGGGACTCGTGCCTTGGCCTCAGCTGTGCCAGCTCTCCGGTGATGTTATCAACACATCTGGCACCATCCCATGAACCTCTTTTGGCTCGAAAAGAGAGGAAGGCGGCAAGACGAAAGGCAAGTCTTGCTGTAGCCTACTGCGGAGGGAGAAGCCCAGGTTCCAGGATCCTTTTCTTTTTCAATGGTTTTCGAGCATCTTGATGTTGCAAGACTTTGAAGGTATATCTGTCCATCTCCTTTCACTGATTGACCAAGACACCTGATCCTGGTGCACTTCCTCCCTGCAGAAGGCCTCTCCGAAATCCCCGGCCGGCGCATTTTCCTGGCGCCGAACTGCTTGACCGGCTAGAGACCCAAGTTGACGGAAGCAATGGCCAAAGTGGAAGAGGCAGAGGAGTTTTTGGAGAGCTCCGATGATGAAGAGGCCCAAGTTGTTCATTTCGGGATCCTTCGGAAGGTTGCTGGTTGCTGAAAAGTCACCTCACAAGTTACATTATCTCACCTTTAAAAAGATCGACATCAGCTTGCGAGCCATCTTCCTTGGTCTTTGCCAACTGTTTGGGGAGTGTGTCCAAGCCTGCTTGGTTCTTGGGGTTGGGAACTTTTGCCTTTCTTAAAAATGACGATCACAGGTTGGTTTCACCACGTGCCGGGTGATGCCGAGGGGGGAGACTCCTGGAAAGGAAACCAAACACGTGCAGGAGACTCGGGAGACTCTGAAGCTTCCGGATCAGTTCCCCGGTCCTCGGGTCCGGATCTTGAATCCTTCACATCTACAGTATCGTTTCAGAGGCTCGATGGCACTGGCACCCGATCAGATGGTATTTGATATGGGGCTCCATATAAAATCACCAATCTTGGGGATTGTGCCATCTACTCTGAAACCAGGTCTCTTTAGGCTCCAAAAGGTGCCTTTATATCGATGCATTTACTTCGCCACGATTGGCTCCTGGTCGGCTTCGCGGTCCCGCTTCGCGGTGCCGTATAGGCAAGTGCTATTGGGCCAAGCAAGAAATTGGGACATAGTTCGACCAGGTCGACCTGGTCGTTTTCTGAAGGGTTGACTTGGTGAGCCAGGAGACTGTCCTCTAGCTGGAGGCTGTACTCAGTGAGGACCACAACAGAATCCAACCTGAAATGGGAGTGTAGCTCAAATAGGGAGACCAACCAACGCCCCCTGGAAGAAGGCTTTCCCTTCACCCTTTCCCCTCACCCTTCAACCAACTCATCCCCCCCCTAACCCCGCTTCCGTGCCGCGGCGCCCGTCGTCCGTTCCCGGGAACCTGCCACCCTTCCCACGCCGTCGGACACTCCAGGCGGGCCCCGGCTACGCCACCCTGGCGCGCGAGGGGCCGAAAGAGTCCACCGGAAGCGTTGGGCATCCCGATGGCTGCAGCTCGGCCGCGGGAGCGGGTCGCGGGGAACGGGTGGGCACGAGGTTCGGGAGAGCGGGAGCGGGAGGTTCAGGAGCGGGAGGAGTCCAAAGAGATGAGGGTGGATGAGGTTCAGGAGGTATAAAAACTTGAATTCGAGCAACTGTCTGGAAGTTTGAGATGTTCGATATTTAGAAGCTTTGTGGAGGATTTGTGATGCGCATGTGACGTAACGCTACAAAAAGCTCAGGTGCATACAAAATTCACCTTTTGGGGAATGTGAGTCTCGTGCAGGACTTGTGCTTGCCACGTTTTGCCCACCTTTCGCTGAGCAAGCTCTCTCTCTCTCTCTCTCACACATGGGCTCGCGTCACCACCACTCAGCTCCATCCAGATCCCTGGGCCTTAGCTTTTTAATAGCGATGGCCTCCACCTAGTAGCGATGGCCTCCAACCTCATTGCGATGGCCTCCACCCAGAAGCGTCCTTGTTCCAAGCTCCTTAAAAAAGGCCTTTTGGCCTTTAGAAAGGGTGTCCTCTGGAGCCTCCAAGAGTGTCCCAAGAGCTTTCTGGACCTTCCAGGCACTCCGTGTACCTTCTATTGCTTCACTCGGCGCGGCTGTAACCGCGGGGCAGATTGCAAGTGGGGCGTCTCAGACTGCAGTGGAGTGAAACCACGAACCGAACGAAGATGAACAAGTCAAGTATTACGTAGTTAACATGTATATACGTATATATATATATGTATATACACACATATATATATATATACATATATAATCACATATACATATATATATATACATATATATATATACATACATAGTATATACATATATATATGTACAATGAAACACCGTATAGAGCTACTAAGTTTTTGATTCTTGTAACCTTTTCAGGAGACTGTTTCGACCTCTTCCTGCACCGTCAAAAGAAGACTACTTTGGAGAAGGTTCTGATCTATCACGGCATGTATGTCACGAAAAAAGGATGAGTCCTTTTACACTGGAAGCATATATGAGTCCTTCATTCGGTGTGATGCGGCAAATCCTTTATTGTGGAAACGGTGCGCGCGGCTTACCCCGCTGTGCCGCAGGTTCTGTCACATGACGCATCAGTCGAAGCTCCAACAACGCCTGGGGGCTCGAAGAACTCAGTGCAAAATGGATGGCAAACGCGTAACCGACGGTTTTAGACGTTAGAAGTTCGAAGGGTGATCCACGTTGGGTCGGACTTGGTTCGGGTTTCGGGAGGCCAATCGCCCCATCTTCCCCGGAGGGTTCGGGGGGCGCCGATCCGGCTCTCCTCGTGGCCTCGCCGATCCGGCAGGTCCTGGGGGCCGGAACCCCGCGTCCCTCACGACCTCGCGGCGACCCCCGCGGCTTCGACCCCCCGCGCGAACCGGACGGAGACCCCGGTGGCCACAGGATCCCGTGACAGACGCGCCGCGTCTCTTCTCTTCGACCAGCGGAGGGGGAGGGGCACGGTGGCGGAGCGGAGGGGTTCGGTGTCGTTCGACCGAAGCGGTGTGAGGTCGTGAAGCGTGGAAGAAGCAACAACGTGAGAAGCGCAAGCTCATGCGAGGCTTTGCTCATAAGGCCGGTGGAAGACCCGTGCTTTTCCTCTTTCTTCCCCTGCTGGGTAACCAGTCGCCCAGAAGCGGCCTGGTTTCAACTGCGATGACGCGGCACTTCAGTGCTGGCTGGATTTTGGATGGTGAGTGATGTTTGTGCCTGAGCATAAGTCATAGAGTTAGTTGCTATTGACCTTTTCAATCCTTTTCAGATGTTTATTCGAATCAGGGTCTTTTCAGGGGTCATGCCATCCACTTAACCATGATTAAATCATATTAAAACAAAGGGAGGTGTATCCTTTGCAATTGCTTGGTGGTACCGTACCTCAAAATCGTGCGGAATCACTGCCATCATGCCATTCCAAAACACATGTTGTTTCGTTGGTTTTTCGTTGGTTTTTCCTGCGGGTTCTCCCAACAAACAGCACCGGCCATCCAGGATGAAGCTGCTCCCGAGGTTCCAAGGCTTCGGGTCGTCGTTTTGGGAGCCTCGCGTGGCTCCGGGGTTCCCGGGGATCCGAGGCTCGGTCTAGATGTGGTCACGAGACGTTAAAGAAGAGGTTGGGAAGAATCTTTTTGGTTTGACCTTTTTGAGGTCGGCAAGAGAGATGGGATATGAGAATAAGCTTGTATAGCAGCGCCTGCAGCGGACTCAGCTGTATTGCTTTTCACTATATATGTCTCTATCGGTTCACCAATGGAGAACTCTTGGGGTCCCACTCCTCGAAGGAGAAGACCTGATGTGGATCAGGATTTCAGAGACCTGTAGCCTCCATTTCCCGGCCATTTCATCGATTGTTCCGGACGCAGAACTCTTGTATCATCTGACGGTTCAGCAAGCGGACTCAGCGAACTCACCCGAACCTGAACCCCTCACCTGAACCCCTCCGAACCCGAAACGGAAGCATTGGGACCCTTTGGTTTTTTTCATCAACCGAACATCGCAGGCTCCAGACCGGTCGAATCGATCGGGTGCACGGTGCCAGGCCCCAAGTCGTCCGAAAGAAGCCGTTGGCCGATGAGGCACGGAGAAGAGGTTTCTGCCGGCAAGTTGTGGTGGATGTTGAACTCGGTGAATGTGTTGATACGTTGCAACACCTTGCGACCCTTCACTGCAAGAAAAACACTGAAACAACTCCCAACAGCACCTTCAAAGGGGTCACCAATGGAAGCCTCAGCCCACTACTAAGGGACCTCCATTGGACACCCCTTGAAGGTCCAAGCACAAAGCCTTTCAACCTGCTTTTCCTTGGCCTCTCTTCCTGGTCCTCTTCGACCGACACTTCAGGTGCCGAATGTGGGCACCAGCATCAAGTCGGTGGTCTTCACGTCGGGGCCCCATCCGAACTCCAGAGAGGGCGAGGCAGGTCGAATTCGAGCAGAACCTGGAGGAGTTGCTGGTGGGTTAAGTGGTCCCAAAGCACCAGGAAGAAGTAGTTAGGCTAACGGACCTCTTTGCAGTTCTAGTTCGGGGGGAAGGTGTTGGAAGAGCTGGGTTGGAAGACTGGCCGAACGTGGCAGAACTTGGAGGATTGGGGCCCCAACTCGACGCAGTGACAGCCTAAGGTGGAGCTCCCCATCTGACCAGCCTCCATGGTTAAGGTCCATGGTTGGTTGTCATGTTCGTCAAAAGGGTGGGATCCCGTGGTTTTAGGTTATGGTGCGGTCAGCCAGAGAGGTTGAACCTCTTTTTGCCGACCTCACCACTATGGTCGGCCCCATATATTTGAACCTCTCTTGGCACTTGGGCCACACCTGGGGCTTCATCCCCGCTTTATTCGCTGCACATCCAGGTACACTCCATCCCGGCTCACCCTGACCACTGGGCAGCAGACGGATATCCGCCCAGCACTCTTTGGACCAACTGCTACGAGGCGACTAGATGGGGAGAGAGAAAGAAGTGCAAGAAAAAACAAATATGTGAAGGAACCCAAGAATCTCAAGGCCGTTTTTTTTCGGAAGGGGAGGGGGAGATGGATATATATATATATGAGTCAAGATTTGGCCCAGCAAGGCGGCAAACACCGTGAAAGACCTGCTTTGGGCTCCAAAACCGTCTATACTAGACACCCTGTTGTTTGGGGGCGCTCTTCGACACCTCAGTTTCAGGAGAAGCCTCAAAAAGAGGCGACAGCAGAGTATGATCAAAATGAATATAAAAAGCAAACAAAATTCGGAGTAGTGGACGCTCTTCTGCCTATAGAGATCTGGATGGGACACTGTGCATCTACTGTAGTTACTAGGGAGAGCTCCGTGCACCATGAGTCATGGTGGATGAGTATTCAGACAGCCGTTCATGGTCGACCGACCCATTTCTGTGGATCTTCAGCGACCTGGGGAAAAAAAAGTGTCTACGCTGACACGAAGACAGTCTGACTGGTGAAGTTCTGTTTGCTCGATTTTGGAAAAACCAAATCAGGCGTAAGTCAGGATGTGGGTGTGTATTAGAATAGGGTCTCTGACCCCGCGGAAGAAGGAACACAGACCACAACCCATTGGTGGGGGGGTTCTATTGAATTGCACACCCGCACCCATCAAGGAGTCTTCTGCCACCGAAGACAGTCAGAACTCTGAGTCACGGAGTTACGGAGTCACGTTGCCCAGACCAACGGTCGACGTATCAACATCTGAACCGTCGGCGTCGGCGTGCGACACAGCTGGGCTTCATAGAAATGGGCGTAGAACGGACCCATCCATATTCACCAACAGTGTAAAGATGCATCATATCATATTTTTATAGGTATCCTGAGTCTCACCAACCATGCCCGCCGTTGGTTTTGGACTACCTCCGTTTGGTGGGGCTTCAGGCGCTTCACTGTGCTCAGCCGCTTGCCCGATGGGCAGGGGGCCTCAGGTGCTGTGCCAGGATCCGCTGCCGTGGGCGATAGGGAAACATCAAACACGAACAGACGCCATGAATTGTCCGCCCCCTTTATTTTTTTTCAAACATTCATGTGAACACCCGGCCAGATCGGAGATCTTAGGAGAAGGTTTCTGAGGTTTCTAGGTGAAGGTTTTCTAAGTTTTGAAACACCTGAACCGCTTTTCTCTGAAAATGGAACGCGTTTTCTCCGGGTGTCCAAGTTCCTCCTCCAGTCCCAGCGCGAGAACGTGGATCGATCCGGCCCAGTGTTCAAGGGTTTCACCGATGACCTTTTGACTCTCCAACATGAAGAAGTTGGAGCGATTTTCAAACAAAACTCCTGGAGGTGTTCCGGAACAAGGGGCCATGCTTCGTGACAAAAGAACGCGTGGGACAAGAGAACAGATGACCCAAGTGCCTCAGTTCATTCCATTCCCCTCGGGCCCTCGGCACCGGTCCTCCCCCACGTCTGCTCCCCCCGAAAAGGGCAAAAAGGATGACCTGAGAAAGGAAACGCCATTCAGAACACGTGGGGGGCATCAGAAACAACGCCCTGGAACACGGAGGGAGCCCCGGTTTTTCTAGCTCTCTTTCGTCGTTGGAAGGTACGCGAGCTGTCCACGCGTATGAACACGCGTGAGCTCACGCGTGAACACGCGAACGCCTACGCCTACTGCGTACGCTAACGCTCGCTAGGCTGATGCTCGATTCTCAGACGGGCACCATCAGCGGCGTACCCGTCACTGGAAGTTCATGGGCACCTCGCCGGGAGAAACGGAGCGACGTTCGGCGTCTGCCGGTGGCGGCCGTCTTCCGGTGTCCTCTTTTGGGGATTCAGCAGCGACGGCGTTTGGAGGGGGGGGTGGGTTTTGCCAGCATGATAAGCATCATGAAACCCGGACTTGAAGCAAGCCTTCACCTTTGAGGGTCCTGGATGATTGGGGGGGGGTGGTTTTCACCTGCGAACGGGTACTTTCGGAGGTGTTGGAGGTGAAGGCCTGAGGGTGAAGATGAAGGCCTGAGGGTCCTCGTTTGGTTGTCCTTGTTGATTTCGATCCTGTGGACCAGCCCGTCTCATTGAACGTACCAACGAGAGAGATATCAGCAATTTGGGAGTGACAAGAAGATACAGCCTCTGCACAACCCTGCGCACTCTGCACTCAGAACAACATGGATGTTGTGCATGTCTGGACTGGTTGAGGAAAGGTCAAAAAAGAAACTGCTGGTCTACACCCCTGCACTTCGTCTCGGTTACGCCCCCAGAAAGCCTCGCCTCATTGCAAGACGCCTCGCCTCGTTTGGGTGTCGGCCTTTTTCCAGTCAACCGTTTGGGCCTGCCATCGCTTCAGGTGTCGTCCGAAGGAATCCGAGCGGTGGAATCCCGTCGGACCGGATCGGTGATGCATCATGATCTTGATCATTCTGATTTCTTTTAACACATATTTGGATGATGGCTCTTCAAATCAAGGTTATTTTTCATGAAACCCGTGATCTCTTTGATCTCTTTGATCTCTTTGATCTCTTTGATCTCTCTCTCTCTCTCTCTCTCCTCGCCTTCTTCGCCACCTTTGGCCCTACCTTTTTCTTCGCCACTCGCCACCAGGAAACCTTCTTCGTTCAGGCAGGCTCCCACACGGTTCGCGTAGCGCTGTCCGGTCGGCTGAGCGTGGAGCAGCTGAGCTCAAGGAGCTCAGAGCCTCCGATGGCATGGCGGTAGAAGTCCCTAATCATGTGTAGCGACCATGATGGGGTTCCTTGGATATAGATTTGTATAGATGGCAGTGGGTCATGGCACAGGCGGCCGCGGGATCCTGGTTTTTCCCACCAAAAAATGAACAGAATAGATTACCAGGGAGGTGAACCTACCAGGGTTTGGAGAGCTCCAGGTCTTGGCTCGCCAGATGACGTCCAGGTCCAGCAAGTTGACAGATGGTTTGCTTCGCACTTGGCATGGTTATCAGCTTGAGCCTCTCACCAAACAGATTATGTGGAGGATACACCCCAAAACCATGAAAGAACTGGTAGAGGAAGGATATACTTATATATATATATATATATGACTTATGACTTTGGTCTCCTCCGCAAGCAGCTGCAGGTGGAGATGATGGATGGACAGTCTGCAAGGGGCCTTGGGATGGTTGAAACCAAGAAGACTCTCCGATTGAGCCGATTTGAAGAACTGATGACCTGGGCCAAAAGAGTTTTGAAGTATATAGAGGAGTCTTTCAAAATCTTTGAACCCAAAGACAGGTGGAAGTCTTTGGTTCCCCATATTGAAAGCACACTCACGACTGTCGAGGCCCATCGAGGACCCCATCTATCCAGGTACCAGGCCTGGCGTTAAAACCCTGGTCCAAACGACCTGTTTCGTTGACGGATCCAGTCAAATGCTTGACCTGTAGGGGTAGAGTTTCTGTCCAGTTGGAGCCGGCGATCCCTTAGGGGGAATGACTGGCTAAGTTCACCACCTGGCTGCCCTTCCGTCCGTATCAGGTGGTGCAAATTTTGAGCGTTTCTTTGTTTCAGACTTGATTCCGTTGCCGCTAGTAGCGTTCTTGTTCCTAGTAGTACGGCCAGGAGCCCCGATCGTAGCGTTCTTGTGGCCTTTAGGGTCCTCGATTCATCCAGCTTCACTTTTGGGTCCTCGACCGTTAGGGCACTTTCTGCCTCGTTCCGCCGCGTCGCGCCTTCTTCTCAGTGATGCCCGGCTCCGGTTCGCCGCGGTCCCCGGGTGTTTGTCTTCGGAACAGAAATCCACCGGTGCCGCCGCCGAACGAAAGGCCATCTTGCGTTTGGACTTCGGCGCTCTTTTTGGCGGCACTCCACACAACCACGGGTGCATTTCCAGCTTGAAAACCATTTGTCACTTCGATTCCTCATGGTGCTGAGGCACAAGCTAGTTTGGAGATTGAAGTGGTCGACTTTTCTCGTGGAGGCGCCCACTCGGTGGTGCGAGAGTGTTCAAAGGCCGAACTCGATGGCGACGAAACCAAATCATCGAACCATCCGACAAAACTGGGAGGGTACAAAACCAATGGTCCAAAATTGTGTGACACTGACACTGACTTGAGTTGGAGGTGACGCCTCCAGTTCAACTCTGGGAGACCAAAAAGGCACCTGGGAGTCGACCACTTTTCTCAATCAAACAATTTTGTTTCATTTTTTCCCGTGTTTCTTCCATTCACCTCTTGTTCTGGGTCGCCCAGAATCTGCTCACTGAACAGGATCGAAAAACAACCCAACTCGATCGAGAACTGCACAGCTTCTGCTTTTCGGACACCGGGCTTCCGAACTGCCTTTCCGAACCCTGCCCTGCCCACACCGCCGGGTTGGCTCCAGAAACCGCGCCACCCGCCACGCACCCCACACCGCCGGGTTGGCCGCTCCAGGCTTCGTCATGGGCCACATCTCGGAAGTGGCACCGGGCCGAAGCTCGGTTCCGTGAGCGCCGCGCTGGCCTGGCGGGGACCAGGGGGGGGGTTGTGGGATGAAGGTGGGGAGAAGTAGGGTTGTTGCGGGTTGAAGCAGAGATGGACGATTGCAGCTCTCATATGCTTAAACCATTTGCTGACAGTGTGTAGTCTCCTGACAGTGTGGAATGCTTAAGCCATTTGGATTGTGAATCTCCGCACATGCCAAGGATTCATGTTGGTGGATGCTTGGCTGGCGTTTGGACCAGGGGAGCGACCGGTCGAAGTGGTTCCGCGGTGGTCCGGTCGAAAAGGACCGCTTCGGTACGCGGGGTTGTTGCTGAAGGTTTTTGAAGGTGGAGTTGGGTGGCTTGGGTGCCTGGGGAAGTTCTTCCATTGGGGTTGTTTGGTTTGTATGGATTCTTGGGTTCAACCCGTGCCCATTGGGTTCTTGGGTTTCTTCACGTTTTGCCCCCTCGCCCCTCCTCGTTCGCCCTTGAGGTCTATAAGCCCGAGGATGATGGGGGCAAGCCCGCGAACCCGGACCGGCCTCGCTTCTCGGGGCGTTCAGACGCTCTGCGTTCAGACGATCTTCGCGCCGCCTCCGCGCACGTGCGAGTCCGACTCGGGCGCTCCAGGACGTGCCGAACCTGCAGAACCTGCAGACGGGCCTCCCGTTTCAAGGCTCAGGAGGGTAGGAGGGTGATGGCGTGACACCGATGCTGGGGTTTTGGTGCGTGAGTGGAGGAAGGTTGATGAAGATGTTCGACAAGGGAGGGCCTGGTTAAACAGATGGTTCAAAATGGTTACATATACACTTGTTTTTTGTTTTTGGAGCTTGATTCGATCATCAAACAGGAGCTTATGTGTCGGAAAAGGAAGGGGGAGCTCTTGACCCATCGGCGGATGTTCCCACAGGAGCTTGAGACTTCTTGGAACATCTCCATGCAGGGCCGTGATGTGTTGGCACGTCGGTCTCCACGACCCGAGGAACAGGAAGCAAAGAAACTGGGAAAGCAGCCTCACTTTCCAGTGTCAGATGGCACGAGCGTTCCAGCAGTTCCAGCAGTTCGTGCCGAACGAAGGGAGGATAGCGGTGCCCAGTCTCCGACCCCTGGTTGAGAGGGCTGAACTTGGACCAATCGTTGACGGCTTTGCGGGACGTGGTTTTGCGACATGTCGATCTTCGAAGCCAGTATCCCACTCATGCCAGCCGTGTTTTTGCAGTGGCCTCCAGGTGGTTTGATGTGGCGTGTGGCGTGTGGCGTGCGGGAGCAAAAACACTTGGAGATGAAGTTGCAGCAGTCAACCATACCTGTCCACTTGCTGGTGGATCACATGAACATGAGCTATGGCAGCCGTCAAACCGTGTCTAGCGTCTAGCAGACTTCCAGCATGGAACCTTCGCCTTCTTCGTACTTTTAGCCGTCAAACCCCGTAGCAGACTGGTTTACCGCGTGGAAACCTGCTTGGATCATCGCGGCGCGTTCGCCGCGCCGCGTCCACCGCATCGGATCGCTGGCCGACGTCGGTCGATCCACCGGAGCGCGGTCGGTCGGTGACGCTGCGCGTTGCCCCGAAATGGCACCGTTCCGCGTGACTCGATGGTACCCTACAAGTCAAAGACCTCATTTCACTTGAGTTGGTCATACAAAAACAATATTTAAGGATGCTAAAGACCAGGTTTTACTGGGTCTTTGGACTTGCAGGGGTATGTGGAATGTTCCGAGAGGAAGACTTCCTTCTTAGTCCCTCGAATTTCAGGTGGATTTCCCCAAGATCTCGGCAATTCAAAGTCCAACCGCCAAAGAAAGCTGCCCACTTCGTACACCTCGGCTTGACCTCGCCGCCACGTGTGGTCCGAAAGGAGCTGGATGGGTTGCAAACCCAAGCGGTCGGGGAACCCGAGTTTGGCTGGACCACGCAGAGGGGTCCGGTCCGGACGACCGAGAGATGGGCTCAAGCCTATTGGGTGATTCCGGGCGACCAAGCCTATTGGGGTTAGAAGGGATATGGGTCGAAACCGGAGTGCACATGGCTTGCAAACGGGTGATTTGCCAGGTCAGTATCTCAGAGATGAAACTATAGAGAATGAGGTTGTAACTTGTGGACTCTCAAAGGACCTTTGTCGATAGTGCGATTTACATGTACTTTAAAGTGATCAAGTGATAGACCCAGCAGGTCCCTGCTTCCGAGGTTGAAGCCGCCAGAACTGCCGGCGGTGTTTCGCACAGCAGGCAACCGCCAGATGCCCAGAGGGGATGGGTCGACCCACATGGAACCTGAGGTCACCACGTCGGGTTGTAGAAGAAAAGCGTCTTCCAAAGGTTCATTTTCAGGCGAAGACATGGTGGAAGTGGATGACACCCCCTGAAGCTGGAGGCCAAAACATGATCCTCCGAGCCTTACACATCACATTGGGATGACGTGGAGGAAAGTCATCCTTCCTTTCGGGCCATAGCTTCTAGAATTCCACGTCACCATGTGGATGTGTTCGTCAGAGTGCAAAGATATGATATATGAAAGAAAAGACATCCCTGGACATCCCTGGACTATATATGATAGAAGACTATAAGTTATAAATATGATAGTCCCTATCTCTCTCTCTCTATATATATATATACCTGGACCTTCAAGGGGTGTCCAATGGAGGTCCCTTAGTGGTGAGGGGCTTCCAGCCAGGTGACCCCGACATGAAGGTGGTAAGACTTCCCTGGACCGGGTGTCCTGGACTACCCTGCCGCCCACGGGTTAAAACCCGACACGCGACAGGCGACACCGTCCAGGTACGTGGGTGTTCGACCTTCGTTTGAGACGGACACCACCCGCTTCGTGTGTCTGTTGCCTTTCCCTCGAGGACTGGCCAGTGGGGTTTTGCAAACCGAACATCTCAATCAGAGAGACCTGAAAAAGGACGGGAAACCAAACGTTGTGAAGAGAATCATGGTCTGGTAAGAGGACAGTTTCCTGCAACACCCAGAGCCTGAACATTTACCACTCAATACCACTAACATTCAAAAACTATACTTCTGTACTTCTATACACTTTTAACCTGGCGTAAGAGCAAAAGACCAGGGTCACGCTTCTTCAGTCTGTTCGATCCACGAACTGTTCGTGCAGAACGGCAGAGTGCCGAGGATCCTTTGTTTTTGCAGAGTGGTGGACCGTTTGGTGCCCTTTTAGGCTGGAGACTCCCTTAGACTCCCCTTTCAGGTGACCACTTCTTGGATGCCACTGACAGGGCTGACAAGGCATTTTTGGGTGCGCCTTGTTTCCTCTTTCACGCACGCCTTCTCCCACCGGTGTGCCTTTGGCGCGGCGGTTGCTTCACGTCCAAGGCTGGGCCGCCCTGGTCCTTCCCTGTGAACAGCTGGAGTGAAACGAATGGCGTTGACGAGAAAAGGCGTCTTCGGGCCGAAGAGACTTGGAGTGCATCCAGAGCAAAGCAACTGCGAAGGCACTAAGAGATCACAGCAAACTACCGTTTCCCGGAGGGTTGATCACCTGACGTAGACGACTCACATGACGTAGACGTCAAACAGCACTCTCCGAATCGCCACATCCAATGGGTACGTACCCTAGCCTTCAAAAGACATGTCACATAGACATGTCACATGGACATGTCGACCTAGTTTATTGTAGATTGTTCGGTCAAACACACCCCTTTAATATAAATCAATGTTTGTTCGAAGCCTAGGGCCTAGGGTCTCTGTTAAGTGTTAGACGGTGGGAAGAACTGGCCATTGGGGAAGGTCTTAGGGAGAAGTTCAACACTGGTCACTTGCCAGCCACTGTTTGGGGTGGTTCATGGATATCCCGTTCTATAAGCTTCTGTTGAATTCGAAGACCCCGTGACTAGGGTCCTGGTTTGTATCCCTTCTCGAAATCAAGCCTGCTCTACCCGAAATCAATTATTTTTCGAAGAGGCAAGTCGCATAGGATCCAAACAGACGAATCATGGGTTCGGAAGGGGTCGCATAACTGTCCAGGCCAGGCCTGAAGCGAAGGTAGCGAACTGTCGCAAAGTGTGACAGTGATGTTTCAAACAAAGAGGCAATGGCATCAGCTGCGCAGATCTTTTTTGGTCCGGCAGAGAGCCAAGTTGCTGCGGCAGAGACACAGTACATATTGTGGGGCACATTTACTCTCCCAAATTGATTGGACATGAAGATGTGGTCTAAAGGCTATAGATTTCCCATGTTTCCATCCATAAGGGCAGATCATGTCGTTGCTGACCTTTTTCCCAAGAACCTTGAAGTGCTGCAAAAAATAGTGCAAAAATAGTGTGCAACCCAGTTTCAATGACAGGCCCTTTGGATCGCTACTAGTAGCAACGACGCTACTAGTAGCTCCTGGCTAATGATAGGACCAAGGACGCTACTAGTACCAAGGGCATCGCTACTAGTAGCAAGGACGCTACTAGTAGGCCCTTTTCTTTGTTTTTCCGCCTCCGATTTGGTTTGGGGTCACAGACGATGGCGACGAAGGGCCCAGCACCGTGGTGATGAAGAAAAAGAGCAGGTAGCATCAACAAGCATGGAGGTAAAGGAGTAGTTCTATGCCCAGACATGCCTGGATGTTCAGATCATGACTTCAATGTGTTTATCATAGGCTTAGCCCTGGAAGATTGGGGCGTCAGGTTTTCCGAAAGGACAGTCCCTTGGAGGGCCAACGTGGATGGCATGGCCCCGGTTTCGGATAACCATGCAATCCACCAAACAGGCGTTTAAACTCCACTTCCATGATGGAAAGGGAGTGTACCACCCTCCCCTCTCACCCAGGGCCCCCCTGTTGTAGAGGGAAATTGTATGAAATTGTCATCCAAGGCATTTTCAATGTTCCTTTGTATCACGAGCCTTCCAAGCAGCTGATGCTCCCAGTTCAGGCCAGACGGGCCCCTTTCTTGGCTCGGGTGAAGCACCCGACGGACGAATATCTGGCGCAGCGCTGGACCGACGCTGCGCGCAACGAGCACATGACGACGCTGCGCTTGGAGAGTGCGTTTTAACCGAAGATCCTGGGGAGCGGTGGTGGTCTCAGCTGGTAGGCCAATGGATGCGGCGCGGGAATTGGCGCGGTAGAAACATGATAGGCCAATCCTCGACATGAAACGCACACCAGTTGAAGGTATCAAATTGACTGTGTGAGACCCACAGGGACAGGGTGAACCAGCGATTGTTGAGGGAGCGAGGGAGCCTCTCTTGGGAGCAGGTCCAGTGTGTTTCGTTCTATTTGGTTAGTGGGGCTTCTATGACGGGTAGCCTTAGATCTTTGACCAAGCTTTCCTGGCTTGGTGATTTTCTGGTGATGGGCGCGCTTGCTGTCTTAAGGTGTGGTTTGATTGACCTGCCGGTCCCAAGCGGTGGTGGGTGGTCGATCAATAAGTGCGGCAGGATCGGTTAAGGGTCGATCAATACCAGGACCCTCCTGTCGGGGTGTCCTGGCTGGACTACCCCACACTACCTATAGAGTTCCAGACAGGGCACCCCGACAGGAGGGTCCTGGTATTTGGTGATGAACTTGTTTCCTTTCTGGACATCCGCTTCCTCAGTTCCACCTCTTGAAACTTCTTCCTCAGTCGTGAGTCGTGATCACAGATCTTTTCAAAACACATCCAGGTGACGGGACACTTCTTTTTAGATCTGTACATCTCCAGTTGCTCTCCCAAAAAACTTTCTATTATTCAAGGAAGCCTCGCCCAATGGAAGCATGCTTGCTAACCAGCTTCGCATCCCAAGAGTGATGGTGGCGCTGTGGCACATGAAGCCGCAACTTAGGAACTAATTGGCATGCCATGCCGAAGAAAGGCTATTGGCTGCTGTCCACCCAATGATGTCAACATTCTGGCCAGAAACAACAGGATGTGATTGATTTTGTGAAATGTTTTGCATTTTCGGGTTTCAAGATGTTCATAGAACCTTTCATCAGTATCATCCTTGCAGGGTGTGTGGCAGTTTCGTCGCGATACGCTATGCGGAAACACGGGCACATCGAAAAAGCACGCGGTCCGCCTGGCCGTTTGCCCCGCTGAGGATTTGAAACGATAAAACAATAAATCATGATAGACCTCCAAGGTGGGGTGAATGGCCGACAGACCACGTCCAGACACCCGTTGGCTGGCGCACTTCGCGCTGCGATGGGTGTCGCAAAAGGGCGCATCCATTTTAAAGGCTTGCGCCTGCCTGGCACTGGAGCAGATGTTGGCGAGGAAAAGGGGATGGTCAGCCTGATATGGATCAATTTTTGACTGGTGGTATGGGCTTTGACATGTTTTGACATGTTCTGAGCAACTTTTGGTGCGTTGAAGGCCTTTGTGGGTAGGTTTTATGTGCTAGAGTTATAGTCTTAGTCTTTTGTGGGTGCACGATTTGGGATCCCAAAAACATCGCATCAGAAAAACCCTGATACATCCTGATACCACACCTGTAATTGTTCGCGCAAACACACGCATCACCGGTGAACACGAGTTAACACGCGTGACGTGGACATCATCAGTCGCCCCATCGAGTCTGATGCCCGGTCACTCCGTCGTCATTCGATGAAGATCTCAGGTCATTGGAAGGTCTCAGGTCATTAGGGTGTATCTATATAGGGGGACCCTCTGGCCCTCACGCTTGCGGTCTTAGACCTCTGAAAGGATTGAAAGAAAGAACCCCCCTTCTTCCAGGGGGGGCCTGGGAGGTCTCCCTATTTGAGTGGCCCTCCGAAGGACGGCAGTAAGGAGGGTACGCGCCGTGAAGCTCCAAGAAAAGCCTCAGAATAATCCTTTGTGCCGTACTGCTGGGTGTCAGGTTTTGAGACAACTCTAGCTGGCCGGTCTCCCATCTCAGTGTCGACGCAGCACACCCCCGAATCGACCGAAATTGACCACCTAGAGGGCCCAATCCATCGGGGAGGTTTCTTCATTGCCCAAATATGCAGCTTGATGTTTCACAGATCAGGGTCATAAGTTGGTACTCATTCCACTTACCAAGTTGCGATTTCTCCAGGTGCTTTCTTTGTTCCGTCGCCTGCTCCAGATCCCGCCTTCTTTTTGAACTCATGGCCCGTTGTCTCGCTGTACTGGAAATCGATGAGGGGGTTGACACAAGGCTTGGAAGGCTGTCTCCCAATGTCAGGGTCCCTGACATCCAGGTCTCCAGCGTCAGGACCTCAGCGGGACAAACACCACCGCGGAATGGTGCGGGACAAACACCACCACTCGGTGCACAGGATGGTGTGATGGGTCAGTCCGGGTGAAACAAACAATGCGGCAGCTTATTGACAGTTTTGAGTTTGAGATTCAGCTGGTCCATACGCGTGGAGGTTTGCGGGATTTGAAGTGTCATCCCGGTGACTTCCCCGAAAGATGTCGCCTTTGATCAACTGGATGGACGAAACCGCAAAATGAAGCACGTCCTCATGCCCAGAGTGTGTGAATCCCTCGGCTGCCTCGGGCTGGCCGCGCTTTTTTTGCGGCCACCCGAGACCCTGTGGCGCCTGACAAACGGGCGCGACGGGTGCTCCGGCGTAATGGAGACTGTGCGGATCAGAGCTGCTAGCTACTACAGGACTAGCCAGGCTCTCTTTGGTTGGGCCAGAGAAGGAGCAAACAACACGACTTGAGCTATGACGTAAGAAAAAACATACGACATAAGCAGGCAGATAGGTTTCAAGACAGAGAAAAACTGATAAAGGACGTCCCAACGGATGTTCCAAAAGAATCGGTTCCCTTGTGGTATCAAAGAGACCTGCGGGGGAGACATATAAAGAACAATTAATGACTTATCCCTGTCACCCAAAGTCAGATAGCTTGAGGCAATCGACAGATACTGATGTTCCCTTGATCTCTGGACTCTGGAGCTCTTTTGTTTTAAGGGGGGGACCCCCAAAGGGAGGCTCCAGAGATGGTCATTTCTTCAGGCTTCAGCCAGGACACGGAAGATCACAAGAAAGACTTCTTGGACTCGCCTTCGGCTCGACGCTTCGTGGGTGGGGCCGTTCTCGATTGGTTTGGAGTAGGCTTTTGAACAGGCACAAGCCTGCTACCAGTATGTAGTGACTGACCTATGTGAAAGCCGTGTGGAGATGTGTGGAGATGAATGGACATGAACGCATGTGGAAAGAGGAGCGCTTGACTCAAATGGCTGGGGACCTCTCTCGAGAATACCACGGAAAATGCAAATGCCAAACAAAACAGCGCAAGATGGACAGAGACTGGGACGCCAAATGGAACTGTTTTCCGTACTCGTCACCCTCACCACTGACCACCCTCACCGCCCTCCTGGTGATGGTGGTTCAATCGCTGGTTCCGTCCAAACGACAGCGCCCAACCGAAGGCGCCGCAAAGGCGCCGCGGTCGCGGAGGCTTCGGGACGCGCGACTCTACCGCCCCGGGAGGCAGTGCTCGGTACCCGAGTTCCGCGCCAGCAGGCCCTGCCAAAGCCAGGGACGGTCCCGGCGAGTTCCGCGCCGTTCGAGTGCGCCGGTGCCGACGTGCGATGCCCAGAACGGCAAGGCCGGCAAGGCCTGTGTAGATGTAGAACTGCGCCGAGCCAACATGCCATGTCATTCTGTGAACCACTTTACTTGGATCACCTCTCAACCTGGTGGGCCATTCTTTGACGTTTCTTCATCCTCCGGACGTCAATGTTCCGGTGGGCCGACACGACGAGGTCGGCGAGATGGAACGCTCCCCATGCACCCCTTCATACACAGTGGTGTCGAATATGAAGGGGGTGAACCATGTTGACCTAGCTGGAAGGTCTTTCGCTAGATGGTGGACTGTTTGGGCTCCAGTTGGGGGGTGGTACAGACAGTCTTCTTTCAGTAGCCCCGAACCCCCACGAAACCACAGCACAGACCGACCCTTTTTTGATCGGTTTTGGTCTTCTGGGTTCGTTTCAATCAGTTTCCACCAAGGACCTTTGTCGGGTTGCTGGGATAATTTTTCTTTGGAGAACCCCCTGCGTCCTGCCTACGCAGCCGGATGACTTCTCTTTGATCACTTGAAACTCTGCGAATTCTCTGCAAAAAAACAACAGGAATTAGCGGGCAAGATCAACACACCGGCACCATCGGACAGTGGTTCATGGCCAAGTTCAAGCGAATGGCCGAAACCCATCGGGTTCGCACCGGTGGGTAGTTTCAGAGTCAGAAAAGATTGGCAGAGGCATGGCCGGGCAGGAGTTGTACATGACCGAGCCACGGCATGGTCCGTTGGACTGTTCATCCGTCAGTCGGAAGGGAGTCTTTTTTTTCGTTTCTTTTTTCAGGGATTTGTTGCCTTCTCCTCCAGATGGACAATGGGAACCTCCTACGTATCAACATAGGCATGTGTGAACGCTTCTAGGCCTTCGAAGACCTCCACAAGGGTTCCCGTCCGACCTGTTCAGCCTCCGGAGGCTGAACAGTCGGGCTTCAAGAGCTTCAAGGGATGGGCCCATGGGCAACGGCACCCACAGCACTATGGGGATGGATGTGAACTTGCAAGGATACCTCGGAGGAACTTAGTGAAAGAACGCACGAAGGAGCTCTGCACTTCCATGGAAGCACCAATGGGCACTGTACGAAGGGATGCAACACACACCACGCCAGCAACATGAACTTCGCAGAAACACGCCCCTCCACACTGGAACCCCACTAGGATGAGTTTACCCAAGCATGCATTCGTATCGGAGGTACAGCGATATCGCCCGGCCTTTGAATTCATTGCTGCAGTATGTCGAGGCACACGGGCGACGGGCAATGGGCACCAAATGCTGCTGTTGGGGGTGGTGAGGTGGTTGTTGTTTTTGTGGTGGTGGTAGTAGTAGTAGTAGTAGTAGTAGTAGAAGTAAGTAGTAGTAGTAGTAGTAGTAGTAGTAGTAGTAGTAGTAGTAGTAG